AGTCTGATCTCGCTAATCAATTTGTGGAGGGAGCGTGTTCGGGAAGAGCCTGTGGTGGCAATCCAGTAAACTCCCGAGTTGTCAGTGAAGTAGAAAACGGTAGTCCCAATCACCTGGTGGGCATGGGAGCTTTCTTTGATTCGAAGCAGGGTCTCTTTCAGGGTCGCTAACTCTTTCCATACAGAAGGGAAGATGTAGATGGATGGTTTCCATTTTCCTTGCCACATCTCAAAGTCACAATTTGGGAGTTGTATGGTGCCCCCGGTGCCAGTTCCACTTCCGTCTCCAAAGGTTGGAACCAGTGTTGCAGCCCACCATAAAAGTTGAAGTCGTTTGGGGTCCGGTCCCTCCGAGTTGTAGTTGTTCCGGTGGACGGCTAGTTGTTGGATGTCATCCCAGTAAATGTTGTCTGGTTCCGGATAATGGTCAGCGGCCCAGCGGAGGTTGGCGAGTCGTAGTGTGTGCCAGGGGCTACCCAAGGAAAGATCTGGGGGATTCCAATTGAACACATTGTTGTCGAGTGTGATGGTCGTTGCCCCGGACAAGTGGTTCCCGGTCTTTGGTCCCTGTGTCGTTTTCGCGGATGCAGAAGTTGGGTGGCTGAATAAATATTGTAGCGAGAAAGACAGGTATTCCCAATGGAAAAGTGATGTAGTTTGTTGGAGGCTCTTGTGTGACAGCTCAGTTTCGCAGCCTTTGGGGATGCCCAGTCCCCGTGCAACTTCTTCCTTCATGAGTTGTCGAACACCCTTCTTCGTTTTGATCCATGCTCCTATTTGGTTAGGCATCGGGTCGTGTAGGGAGTGGGGTGTGTGTGCACTGCCAGATTGGGAGTAGGAGTTGCGCGGTACCAATCCCGGTGGCGTGAGGAGATTTCCCATAGGTCGGATCACAGACAGATCTCGATCTAAACTGTCCCATGTCCATTGTGCCCGACAATCAATTCTTGTCCGAACCACCAGTAGCCGTTCTTGGGTGATGGCACCTCCTATTGCTGTTGCCTTGATAGTACGGCAATTGATGTTGTAGCCAGCTTCTCTCCATCTAGTAGTTGTAGGTTTGCTTGTTGGTCCGTACTGCCACAAAGTTGGGTCCGAGCGCCAGGATTCAATGATAACCTTCGGTCTGTGTTTGGGAGGCATGGAATCCACCATGTCCTCCCATGGTTCTCGATTGGGGCCGCCACTTGGTCGAGTGTAGTGGCCTTTCTCGATCACCAAAAGATCCACCGGATGAGTGTCGAGGAGCCCTTTCCATTGACGGTGGGGTCCATAGAGCACCACTGGTGGGTCCTTCAAGTCTGTTGGAACAGTCTCCCCATTTTCTCTGATGGAGAATGTTACCTTCATCTTGGGCCATGCATAACGCATGACTTCACATCCACCTCCTATTATGCCCAGGGTTTCCAGTCCTACCGAAGTTGTTGCAGCTACCTTACGAATCTCTACTCCCACCGTTGCTCCACTTGCCATGACTCCGTCTGTACGAGTTTGCTCACCTTCCAATTAAACAAAAATACAAACAGAACAGTCAGCTATAACGGATGAAATTGATATTGCTTTCACAAGTGTGGTGGTGGTGGTGGTGGGTGTTGATCGTAGGTGGCAGTTCGGATGATGAATGACTGCTTCATTTGGCCTGATGTGTGATGTGTGCATTGTCTCCAAAGTAGAGACCTTTCGGTCGTCCCTTTGGAATGTTTGTCCCCAAAGTAGACTGCCTTTCGGCCGCCCCTTCGGATTTGTCCCCAGAGTAGACCAAGCGGTCCCTCCGGAATTTAGCTTCAGGGTATACCACGGGTGTGGCACCTCCGGTGGTTGCCGGTTTCTCCCCCGGTTTAGGATTTCTTGGGCCAGTTGTCTGAGACTTCCTTGATAATATCTCCAACTGGGCGCTCTTTGTTTGCTAAGACGGCAGTGGCAACTTCTTCCGCCGCGACCTTGGCCCATGAGCCGGCATGCCCTGCCAGGGGGCAAACAGTCTTGTTGTGCTCCAGTTTCAAGGCAGTGTGCAGGGTTCGACTCTTGCATTGAGAACACTTTTTGAGGGTCGAATCTCCTTCCCTGCCCTTGTCCTTGGTAGGTTCCCGGCCTCCTCGACCCTTGGCCGCCCGAAGAGATTCCAACTCCCTTTGGAGCTTCTGATTCATCTTGTCGACCCTTCCAATGTTCTTTTCAGTGATGGTGTTGCTGCCAAAGTCCTTCTTGCGGGCATCGCGTAGGTAGATGTAATTTTGGAGGAGCAACATCTTCTTGCTGTTGGAGTTTGTGCGGATGTCCAGGAGATTCTCCGAGTGGACCTGGAGTATGACGTAGGCCTCCGAGTCTTCCCAGGCTTCATCCGAGCCCATATCTTTGTGGCGGATCTTGTTGAGAAGGGCCAAGAAGTTGACATAGGTTTCCTTGATGATGCGGGGCATCAGACCTCGTTCAACGTAATCTTCCACAAATTCAGTCGAATAGCCTAGTCGGACCAGGTAGTGTAAGAACTGGAAGCGTTGATTCTTGAAGGTGTCTTCTTCTTTCTTGAGGATCTTCTGGCAGGCTTCGTGAAGTTTGTTGCTGCTGGTGATGAGGCCAAGTCCATGGCGACCTTTTCGACAATAGCCAGTGTCTAGCAGGGCGATCTTGGTGCTGTCCGACCCAAAGGTTTCCAGGAGCTGGTTCATCACTTCCTCACCTGCTCCACCACTTTCACTATCACCCCCTCCTGGCGAGCACTTACCTGGTAATGCCGCCATATCGCTTGCTCTGTCCCACAATCCTTTAATTTCGGCGTTCTTGAGACCCTCCGGCATCATTGCTCGATCGATATCTAGACTTGTAATAGAAACTCCATGGATTTCCTCCTCATTGCCTTTAGAACTGTCCGCTTGGTAGCTCTTGATCGTGGCCTGGTGGAAAGCCGGCCTCAGGGGTTCTTCAGGGGATATTGCTGGAGCCGTTGATGCTGGATGGTGGATGGGGTTGGCACTGATTGGTCGGGTCCCATCCACCAGAGTTGGACCAGAAGGATGTGGTTGTTCCTGTCCCATGTTGATAGCGGACATTCGCAATCTTGCTTCTTCTCGTTCTTGTTCCATCCGTCTGGCTGCGTTGCTCATTTTATCCGCTGAGTCCTGAAGCTTTACAAAGTAGGGATGGATGGCTTCAAGGACAGATTGGAGGATGGGCTGATTGTTCTGAGTTTCAGCGGCCGCTAACTCCGGTTTGAGTATTCTGGCGGTCGTAGGTGGCTGGGGGGGAGACTTCAGAGTATTGTTACCTTCTTCAATAGTGACTTGTTTGGGCGCTGTTCCCTTCAGTGTCCTCTTTCTTGCGATGGGAACTTTCCTCTGGGAGGTTGCCCTAGTTTTCTTCCGGGTTGGGGTGCGCTTCTTCTTACGAGGAGACTGGCTTGCCGCCTTCTTTGCCTCCAGTCTTGCCTTCTCCGCTTTCAGCTTCTTCAACTTTGCCTCTTCGATCTCAGCGATCAGTTCATTGATTCGGTCAAGGTCGTCTTGGTGGTCGTCGTCTGAGCCATCCAAGAATTGTCCCTCAGAATCCACTTCGCTAGTATTGACATCGGTGTCATCATGCTCTTCCTCTTCGTCTGAGATGGAGAGAACCTCAGTGGAGACTCAGTTGAGATGCTCGTCCATTTCCTTCTCGGTCCAACACTGACCATATTGTTGACTGTGAATAATAAATTCCCCAGTTTCCTTGTCAATGTCCTTGGTAGATGGGACTCCTTCATACCAACGTGGGGCTGCCCGTTCGCCACTGCTTCAAAGTTCTTTATGGAGGCGGAGTCGGCACTTGCTCTTTAGCTTGCCACATATGATGTTGTCTTGCTTGCTGTTCGTCGTGGGTCCGACACATTTCACTTGACAATGATTTGTCATGAGATGGACCCAAGCGCTGAGTGGGACCTCTCTTTCCTCTTCATAATCGGTCAACTCAGCTTGGTCCTCAGGTCCCGTATCTTCTGGCTCGGTGTCGGGTTGTGGTCCTCGAGGGTTTCTGGAAGGGGCTGCATCTGAAAGTGTAGCATCATGGTCTGAATCCGGGGCATCTTCGTTTTCATCACTGTCGATTTCAAATTGGCGATATCTCGCTGGTTGGGCCAAGGAAACGGCCGAAGCTGTTCTCGTCGAATGAGAATGGCAAGAAATGGCGGAAGTTATGCTGTCTCCCTTGCGACTCATGCCCGCGCTTGATGCGTCGGAATGTACGGTCTCCACTGGTACCCTGGTCCCTTCACGCGTCTGAGCACAAGTTCGTCCGGTATTGGGAGAAAAGAAACATGTAACGTATTCTGGCAGGCTCATGATGACACTCCTCTCCCCTATAACTCCGATTCTTGTCTAAAAATCACCTTACCCCCTAGCAGTTAAAAAATTTCTAGCTATTGCTGGAGTCTGAAGGTGTTTTGCTCAAGTTCCGAGTTGGATTGATTTGTGTGCTTTTTGATGCAGCTGCAAGTCATTCCAATTCGGGGCTTTTCGCAGGCTTTCCTCCAGCTTCGTACTTTG